CCTCAATGGGCTAATGCCCCGAGATACTTAGACTACCGGCAGAGCGAAACCAAATGTCTCGAATTTGTGGGCAGTCGAAGAAAAGGTGACTGGGCGTTTCACAGGTGCAGTGAAAGAATCTACTATTGACCTAACCCTAACTACTGAAACGTAGATAAAAGTAAACGACAACATTCTTCTCTGCTTTATTGGGAGGGGTCGGCCCCTTTATATAATAAACAAGACTTGACCAACAAGCCAACACATCTATTCAAACTCTAACACAATCTCTAAACTAATCGGACTCTTTCCTAACAAAGATGCTTAATCAACTAGGACTCTAATCAAGGGATAAGACTCCATGTTTGATGGGCTGGTCCACATAACATCTCTCCCATGAAAAACAACTTGCGGACAAGCTGCATGTTGTCAATTGCCTCCCAGGGGCCCTTGGTTGCTAGCATATGTGGAGCTATCTTGGTCAATAGTCATCAACCTTGATGAAGAAGAGCCACGCACATTGGTGACCCCGAACATAAATCTCGTCGCAGTTGAAGCAAATGCCTTGGAGATGACGTTTTGCTAACTCGGCTAGAGTGAGGTGCCGAACCTGCCGTGGTGGGGTTCACTTTGGAGTGGATGATGGCAGAACATGTGCTAGTGGCGCTGGCGGGGAAGGTATTTTAGCTACGTTGACCGCAAGAAGATCAGAGGGTAACAAGGGCCCTATTGGACTAGAAGGTTGGTGTGGTGACGTTATTGGTGGGAAATGCTGCTGCTCATAGTCCTTGGAGAAGGAGATGGCAGTTTGGAGGTCACATGGCTGCTGAAGCTCGACGTTAACACGAAGACCATTGGGCAGCCCTAGCCCTGCTGTGTATAGAAACAATTGTTGGGATGGTGTTAACGACTCATCGTTGTGGCACATGAGTGCTAGAAACCTGCTGGTGTAGTCGGCAATCGAGGTAGTGAACAACAGGCGTGCCAATTCGCCCAAAGGATTGGCGCGGAGTGACGGCTAAAATTGAACATGGCAAGCTTCCTTGAACTGCTCCCATGTCGGCATGCCGAAATCGCGCTCGAGCTTTAAGTACTAGAAGTGAGTATCATTGGTGAGGTGGTATGTTGCAGTGCGGACCTTGTCAGCGCACGGAGGAAAAACTGCTCGCATCTATGGAGCCAACCAAGAGGATCGACCGAACCATCGTAAGTCGGGAAGTCGAGCTTGTGCAAGCGAGGCACGCCTGAACCAAAAACTGAGCTGAGGTGATTGTTAGGTGGGGGTTGTGGGGTTGGGAGGGAGGTGATGGGCGGGGTGGATCTATAGATTGGTTGTGTAGGGGCGCGGCCATAGCGACGTATGAAATCGGTTGCCAGGTGGAGACATGGAGGCGGCGACGAAAATCTGTTCCTGCTGCTAATGGTAGGGTTGTTGATGCGGATGGTAGGTTGCTGCTGCTAATGGTAGGGCTGCTGCTGGTAGTGGATGGCAAAATTGGGGTGGGTTTTGGGTTGTAGGGTGAGGATAGGTGGTTGTGGCGAGTAAGGACATGGTTGGAGGTGGAAAAGGGTACTGGCGGCTGATGGTGGTTGGCAGCAAAAGTGGGCAAACTGCTCGACGGGTGGAGGTCCGGTGGCGGCGGTGACAGTGGTGATCCCCCCGCTAGAAACGGTACACGAGAGGCACCAGCCCGGCGAGGAGCACCTGGTCCTCCGCTTGTTGGCGTGCAAAGGCCTCCAATTGCTTTGTGATGATCTTCATTTGCTCCACAGTCTCGATCTTTGTCCACCATCGTAGATGGATTTCATATCAAATTGGAAGAATTTACTGCTGACCTAACCCTAATTATTGAGAAGTAGATAAAAGTAAATGACCATATTCTTTGCTTTATTGAGAGGGGTCGACCCCTTTATATAATAGACAAGACTTGACCAACAAGTCGATAAATCTATCCAAACTCTAATATAATCTCTAAACTCACTAGACTCTTTCCTAACAAGGATCCTTAACCAACTAGTACTCTAGTACTCTAATTAAGGGATAAGACTCCGCATTTGATGGGCTGGTCCACATAACATGCCGGAGCAGAAAGGACATTTGGGGTGGTCGAGGCAGCCAATGCGGTGAAGGAGAGCCCGAATTCTTGTCTTGCGGCAGTGGAGGATCCACAAGAAGGCCTTGACCTTCAAAGGCACGAAATGCTCCCAGTTGAGATCGTGGAGGGGCAGTCCACATCTTTAACTTCGATTAATTTTCTAGACTAATAGTGCATATTTTACACTGAAAGTGAACACTTTGCCATCGCCCAAGCAAGCTTGCGCACGTCTGGACCGCTTCCCAAAGAGAGCGCATCCGTGAATAGGCCGAACTCAGCTTTTGCTCTCAAGCTTTTCCGGCCACATGCCGGTATCTCAATGGTGTTGAGGCGGAGGGGGTTAGGGATGCAAGCGCCCAGGTTTGGATTAAAGGAGTACATTGCGAGGAGTGCAGCTGCGTGGGGGCCTAGCGTAGTGTAGTTATTGTACCAGATAGAGGTGCTCAATCCGTCTCGCACAAACACCGCAATGATGGATCGGTATAGCGAGATTAGCGTGGCAAAACATTTCGAGGAGGGGGACGCCAGGCAGATGAGTAACCAAAGTACCTTCTCCGGACCCATGTCGTCTATGGACTTTGCACCCTGGTGAAGAGCCCATGAATAGGCCGAAGGAGAACCCCCCAAACATTTTGCTTGTCGTTCCAAAACATAGGGTGGCAGGGACGGTCCATTTGCTAATGATCCCTTTGCGGAAAGGGACTGCCATCGGTCGGCATGGAGAACATCATAGTTGTAGTAAGAATGAGCCTGCCCTCAAGCGAGGCTAGGCGCGTACGCCAGCTGGGAATGCGTCTCTCAATCTTGAATGCTAGAAGCCAAGGGTGCAGGCAAGCTATTTCGGGTCAGAAAGTGGGAGCCCAAGGTACGTCCATGAGCAGTTGCAAGATCAGCCGCACGCTCCAGCAACACCGACACCGACAGGGACGAAAGTGCTCTTGTAGTAATTGATCTCCAAACCAATAGCATCGATAAAATTTTCAAGATCAACCTCAGCTTCAAGATGTGTTCCATATCCTTTTCACTAGAATGAGCGTCGTCCGCATATTGAGTGACAGGGAAGGAAGGTTGTCCACAAGAGGGTGTCGTAGCCTTTACGGGGATGTATCCCACGCGATCTCCTCAGATGGGATCAATGATGATCAGTGGTTAGGGGACAACAGATCCCCTTGCCGAAGGCCATTCTTACATTCGATCCATCTTCCAAGGACACCATCTAGGAGCACCACCATCTTCCCAGTGGCAAGGATAGAGTGAATCTACTCGCACCATCTATCCATGAAACCGTGTGCTCGGTGGACGCCGTCCAACGCAGACCAGCAGAATCAAACACCTTCTTGAAGTGCAATTTAAGAGCAATTGTGGCGGCGATGCGCAAAGTGACAACTTTGGTCAAGATCCATGGCATAGAGAGAGTTGCCAGTGATACACCTCACACTGATGAAACCTGTTTGCTTGAAAGGAACCAGGAGCTCAATGAAATGCTAGAGACGACACACCAAGATCCTAGTTACAACTTTCATGACGCAGATGGCGGTCCAATAATAGGCTAGGTGTTTAGTCATCTCGTCCTTTTTGTGCCGGTTGTGGCAACTTTTACCTTTTTTAACTTTTTTAGCTCAGTCCGAGCTTGTACTAGACCGCAGAACCTTTCGGGTGCTTGGCTTAATAATAGGGCTGCATGCATAATTCTGATGCAATGACCGGGGGGTGATCCTCTTCTAAAAAATGGCGCAGTTCTAGAGCGAGATAGGTCCGAAGCTGTCCTCCAGGAGCACCGACACAGCTTTCGGCAGAAGCGCAATGAAAACTTGGTTGATACCCGCAAGATGTGCACGTCCATGGTAGAATTCCTCAAGGAAGTTCAATTGATCATCTTTCACCAGGTCCCGGAAGAGCTTGAAGAAGCATGGACCAAAGCCGCCCGGGCTTGGGTTGTTGTCTGAGCGCATCCGGAAGACCGTGGACCTGAGCTCCTCCATGGCGAAAGGGCACTTAAGCTCAGGCAGCCCAAGGACACGTGGCAACACTAACTACAGAGGAACCACCCATGAAGATGAGGTAGTCGTCCCCAACAAGTTTGAGAAGACACCACTGATGGCGCCTTCTTTGACAACATGATTAAAGTAGGGGACGCCTTGGTCTGGATAACCTGAATCTTGTTACGTCAGAGACGGGCAGTGGTATTTGCGTGGAAAAAGACAGTATGTTGTCACCCAACTTGAACAGTTTGAAGATGTAGAACTGCCGCTAGTATGCATCCAACCTCTTGAGTTCAATGGAGAGCCGTTTTTTAACATCGTGGAGTGACTCTTGGGGTGGTGAGCAAGTGAAATTTCTCCACCAGATCAATCACCTCAATGAAAGCCCGACAGTTTGGCGCCAATTCTGGGGGCTGGTAAAGTGCGCAGGACCATCGTTTAGACCCATCGCGGGCCCACTTGAGTGTACGTGACAGACGGCGGGCAGGGCAGCTTCCGTGACGTGGTTTTGTGTCCTGGCCCAAACCGCTTGGATCAACAAGTGGTATTCCTTGGACGCAGCCCACCATCGTTCAAAACAAAAAACCTGGCCGACCGGCGTGTGCGAGACCGCTTCAATCACCAAAGGAACAAGATTGTCGGGCGGTGGCGCGCGCCGCCGATTGCAGAGTTGAGTTGAAGAGAAGCCAAACCGTTTGGATCAACAAGTGGTATTCCTTGGACGCGGCCCACCATCGTTCAAAACAAAAAACCTAGCTGGCCGGCGTGCGCGAGACCGCTTCAATCACCAAAGGAACATGATCGAGTTGAAGAGAAGGTGACTCCAAGGCAGGTTGATATATATGCAGCCTGAGGCACACAAAGGTGGGGTCATCTCGACAGTTGGACCAAGTGTACCGCCTGTCGCGAGTGGTAGCTTATGGAGGGTGAGGCCGTCGACCACAAGGTTGAAGGCGGCCGCCGCGGCATAGTCGCGCCGGGGCGAGTTCTTGTCGTAGAGGAACCATGTTGAAAGCCTCCACGAAGATCCACGGAAGGGCGCACATGCTTGCAACCACATGCAGCTCTGCCACTAAATCCAAGCGAAGCTTAGGAGTGGAAGGGGTATAGATGTTCGTCACGACGGAGGCGGCGTCCGTAGCAAACTCGGAGAAGGACGTGATCGTGTAGGCAAGCACCTCGTCACGGACAAACTCGAAGAAAGCACAAATACTATTGCGTTTTCACTAATATCGTGCATGTACCATGTATTTATTATGCCGTCCTTGTGAACAATGATGAGATGAAATGGAAATAAGGTCTGTTCGTATATCATGTATACAGTCCGATATCATGTATTGAATAATAGTCTGCAAGTCTTTATTAGCTTTTGCTGATCTCTGATATAGTCTGTGTACTTTTATTTGTTGCAGGTTGATTTGGTTTCTACTGTACACATTGCTGACAAAGAGTATGTTCTATGGGCCCCTTTTCATGTTTAAACATTAGATTCTGCTGGCATTAACAGCTCTATGAATCGACAAACATGTCTATCACTAACATCGTTTCCTCATCACAAGATCCTTGCACTTATTGTCTGTTGGCACATTCTATAATTGATAGAAGTTGCCAACTAAGTGAACTATCTAAGACATATTATTTCTGTTCAGATATTTTGATAAACTCCAACAAGCACTTGCAGACTATGATTGTGTTCTGTATGAAATGGTGATAAGTCGGGATAATTTAAATAACCAGCAGGGCCCAACGTTTGCGAAGAAGCTGAGATCTTCGCGCAAAGGTTTCAGTATTCTTGGTTTCATACAGAAACAAATGGCTCGTATCCTTTCATTGGATTACCAACTAGATTGCCTTGATTATGGCGATGAGAAATGGCAACATGCTGACCTTGACTATGAGACATTCAAGCTGCTTCAGGTAATAAATTTAGTTACACTAGCACAGTGGCCTGCGCACATGCGCTGGCAACACCTTGATCATGAAACATTGACTTCCATTATCATGATTCAAATAGTCATATTGAATATGTGAGACATATGTATTTAGTAGATCATAATAGTCCTGCCAATAAGTTCGACTAAAAACACTTTTTTCACTCTCTCGAAAATACAAAAGCCTTTGCATTTCACTGCATTGATAGAGAGAAGTGTTGAGTATCATTGTTATTATGGAAACATAGGATGGCGTAGGATTTATTCCACCTTGCCTTGTACTCCAAAACGACCTTGTACTCCTATATATATGCCCATGAGGCTCAAGCAATATCAACGAACTATTCCACCAATTTCCTCTCTCCCTTCTAACATAGTATCAGTTTCCGGGTTCTAAACCCTAGTCGCCGCCGCTTCCGCACCCGCGCGCCGCCCCCGGGGCGGTCGGCCTCCATGACCGCCGCCGGGGGCCGCGCCGCCCGTGCCTAGGGTTCGTCCGCCGGTCGTGTTGACCGGCTGCCTAGAGTCTTTCTCCCGAGCCCTTGCTTCGGGTTTTTTCACTCTCTCGCCGGTCGTTTTGAACGGCGTTTTTTTCTTTTTGGTTTTTCGATCTATACTTGATCGGTTTGTGTCGCCCGCCGCCGCCATCGACCCCCGTGCGCCTCTACTCCGACATCGGCGCGACCGGCCGGCCTCGCGCGACAGGCGGCCCCTAACGGCCGTTGTTCGCGCGCCTGCCCGCCCGTCGCCCCAACCCGGCGACCTTGCGCGACAGGCGGCCCCTCACGGCCGTCGTCCTGCGTCGGCCCGCTCGTCGGTCTACGCCAGCCATCACCGCCCTATCCCATGTTCAGCGCGCCCCTTCGCCGATCGAGCAACAGGCTGCCGCAGCGCCGCCCCGTCGGGCCGCAGCGCCGCCGCCCCCGTGGTTCTCCCCGTGGCTGCACCAATCCGCGCGCCACTGCGTCGCCCCTTCTGGCCATAGTGCCGCCGCAAGTGATCTCCGCCGCCGCCCTGAGGCCGTTCCCGTGGTTGCACCACCTTGCGCGCTGCCGCGGCGTCGCCCCTTCAGGCCGTAGTGCCGCGGCCCGCGGTCAACCGCCGCACCGAGGCCGTCCGCTCCAAGCCGTCCCCGAGGCTGCACCGACCCTCGCGCTGCTGCTACCTCGCCCCGTCGGGCCGTAGCGAGCGTGGCACGCGATCCCTGCAATCGCCCTGAGGTCTTCCCCGCCGTCGCCCCGACCTGCCCGCCGCCGTTGCGTCGCCCCTTAGGGCCGTAACGCTGCGGCACACGGTCCACCGCTGTCCACGCGCGTTGACTTCCACGTGATATGCGCCGCGCCGCCTCCCTTGGCGCGGGAACTTCACCGACCGCGCCGGTCTTCGTCACGCTGTCGGGTTCATTATCGCCTACTTCGAGCACCGCCGCCGCGCTCCTTCTCTAGCCGCCGCAGCCTCCTTAGGCCGCCGTCGCCGCTGCTCTTCTTCCGCGGCTCCACGGCGACTACCTCAACACCGGCAACCCCCGACTCGACACCGACCATGGCGTTCTTCGCCCGGCTACCTCAACTACGGGTACACCACCTACGCTCTCGGCTACCTCAATAAACAGCCCAAAGGGCTACCGCCATGCTTGAGCAACCTCGTCGGTTGCCACTCCAACCTCGTCGACCGTTACAACTGTGGG